AAGTAAAAAATCAAATGTATATTCATACACAAAAACACTCACAGTGTTTTGTTTTTTCTCAAGTCACTGATGTTGATTTATTTGTTTCTTGTTTTCAATCTTGTATTAAGCTTAAAAAATAATAATTTCTTTCGTTGTGTTTTCTCTCTTCTCTTTCTCTTTCTCAAGCCTTTTTTTTTTTCTTTTTTATTTGTTACTCTTTCTTCTTAATAAAATGTAAATGATAATAATTATTTATAAATTACAATGAATATATCTCGATATATATATTTAGACTATATCAGAAGTTACCTTTTTAATTATATGAATATAAGAATAATATTTGTCGCAATAAATTTTTAATAAAATCGACAAATACCGTTAGTTCATACATTTTTTTTTTCATCTTGTTCGTTCTTATTAAGAGAAAAAAAACGAAGAAAATTACGCAGTGAGATGAGCAAACAAAATACATCAAACAAACAAGCGTGCATGCAATACTGTACAAAACACTTTAACTATTACTCCAAAACTAATCGCCCTCGTATCGACTACTGTATAAATAACATAATCACTCTCTCTTCAATCGTTGACATGATCGATAATTGATCACTAAGAATTTATATGTGTACGAATAGACTAAATAAACAGACTGACAATCGACAAAAAAAAATTTGTTGATTTTAATGAATGTCATGTTATATAGATGTTAAATATGTGATTTATTATCATTAGATTGTAATTGGCCTAGAAAAACAATGATTAATATTTTGTTTTTTTTTTAATGACAAAAAGGAATATAAGTTAAAGCTTTTATATTTGATAGAATATCAAGATGAATTTATTTTTTGTTAGTGTCAAACATAAAAGAAATATAAAATATTTGTATTGTACAAAATAGTTCATATGTAAATATTGTAGTAATAAAACGTCTCATCTTTTACTAGAAGAAAATCAATATTGTCAATGATCATGTTAATACAAACAAGATTTATTCACCCTATTGAATTTTATTCGATTAGATAATCAATAATGTCTCTTGAATGTTCGTTAGTCTTATCAAGTATTTTTATGATAATGAATGTTCTATAAAATTTTATCTTTTTTTTATTGAGACATATAAAAATCTTGTAATAGTCTTGTCTATGAACTAGAATAAACAAATATTTATATTAACAATACAATTATTCTTTTTTCTTCTAATCATTTCATTCTTGAACTTTGTTGAGAAAAAATTATTATTTTCTATTATCATCTAGTTCTCTTTTCAATTATTTCGAAAAATCAAACATCGTTTTATCATAGTTAAATTTACTAAAACTTTCAATAACAAAAACTATGACATTAAAATATTCTATGTTTCATAGAAAAGTACTTTTGTTTTTGTGCTCTAGATGAAAATAGTGCACATGTTGAGTTTTGATCTTTTGCTTGACTAATTTTGGCAGTAAAGATTATTCTTTATCACGTATATGAAAATCTTTTGATCGCACGCGAACAATTCGAGTGAACTTGCATGAAAATTATCATCCGATGACAAATGACTTCTAATTGAGGGATGAATTTGCATATCATGCAAGAATTATAATAAATTAAGTTCCGCAGTCTACTTTGATAATGTATGATGTTCGTATGATTTTAATAATCAACTATAAACAGAAAAACAAAAAATTAAAATTGTTTTTGAAGAGAATATCTTCTAGACTATTCCTCAATTATGCAGGCACTAAGTAGTTATATAAGAAAGGAACTTCTATGGTTTAAGGCAACTATTTGGTGGTAATTTGTCTCTAATTAGATTGAGTCATGATCTTTTAGACGTATTGGTAGAGTCTCTGAAAATCTTCGAAATTTTGGATTTTTTGATATATTACTCAAAGAGTAGGACGAAACGTGCTAATTTTTAGTAGAAATGACGAATTATACACTTTGATAAGATTCAATCACGGCTTTAGTTGATCATTAGCCACTATATAAACTAGGTTTTTCCTAAATAGAAATATATCTTCGAATTCATGATCAAATATTGTAATATCACTGCAATGCTCTTTTGCACCGTAATTTGAAAAAATTGTCCTTGTCGTCATAAAAGCTAATTCACACAGTGCATGTTTTCACAATTCATAAAAAGAAATCTGTCTAAAATAAGAACATATTCGATATGATGTCGTTGTATATTAATTCAAACGCCACTTCGTCTTTACATTTTCTTCCTTTAGGTGTACATGTCAAAGTTTTCTCTATGAAGTATCCATTGTCAGCATGCGAACGTGCGTGCTTCTTGTTGGAAAAAAGATTCAAAAGCACTTTTCGAAGTGCAAAAAAAGTTTGAATGTGTGCTCAACTGCTATTTTTCTTTAGATAGCTTTTTTTGCAGACAATCATACTCATTGAAGTTTGCTTGATACTAATAATTTTAGTAGTGATATATTTCACTTTGAACAAATACTATTTAAAACTCGACATAAGCAACTGACTTAAACAAGTTTCACAAAAATACCCTGATTTCCTTCGTTTTTAGTTATTTTTCCCCATTTTTTCTTGGTATAAGTGAAATAAATTTGTTTATTAACTATGTCCTGAGCAAAAAGCAATTGAAGCTAAGAACTGTTCGCGCGACTAACAAAAAATATGACTATTGCTAGGGACTGAATAGAACACTTCAGGATTTCTAATGTGTCTATAGCTTTATCGTATGTCATTTTGAATCACTGGATACTAAGCATTAAAAGCTTCTGTTCAATATTCTTATTTTTCTTTTGTATGTTAGGAAAATTGAACTTTTTTCGCACACCAATGTCAAAGATTTTTAAAATTACGCTTCTTTTTAGCGATTTTTATTATTATAGTTCATTTTTAGAGAAAAATATGTAGCATTTTCGAAATCAACGTAAATCACTAAATTGGATGAAGTCTATTTCAGGAAAATGTGATTTTGACGACACACTGGTCTGTATTTTATGAAAAGCATATTTTATCAAACTATATTTCAGTCGATGACTATTTCTGTGCTAATTTCGATCACATTATCTATTATGGTCTACATATGACCTATACCAAATGAGAATTGTTAAAAATAAGTGCAGCGTTAATCGTCTTAGATAGTTTTGACAAGATGCCTAAATATTTGTTCTAGATACATTCAACTAAATAGCATTTGTTATTCACTTCCACTATCAAGATGAATCAATGATCGTTCCCACTAAAAACTACCGCACATCGTTCTCCTCTTTGAGTAATACATACAAAAATGCAGAATGTCGAAGACTCTCTGAAACTGTACTTATAATTCTACAAGATCATTAGAAGCAAATTACCGCCAAAATAGTTGCTTTATATGGTATAGAAACTTCTCTCTTGTAGTTTTTTTTTTGTTTTTATGAACTTGCCATAAAAAGTATTGAATAGTGATCTGCGGTATCTTTTTATATGTACATGAAAAAAGTTGATATTAAGAAATTATAAGTTTCTCGATATGATCTTTCATTCAAACTATAAAAATAAAAATAAAATTTAGCGTCCGCCTAGTTGAGGGGTAGTTTACCGAATCTTCTCTCGCTGGAAGAAAGCTTGTATGAGACTACTAAAAACTATCGTAGAAAATGAAGCACTCGTCAAAATAGAATTTTTTGACTTAATCGTGTCATTTTGATGAGCATCGCCTAAAACCTCAAAATCAAAATTTTATGCGTATGTGATTGAGCTGATATAGCTATATGAAGAATATCATCAATAGTCGTTTCTATAAACTTGATTTTTACAAAAGAACAAAGAAATAGCGACATTGCTTGTATTACATACGAAAAGATATCATATTGAAGGCAGAACAAAATTTGCTATTTACATTTCAATGAATTATGCAAGTGATTTTACTCAAGAAGACAAAAGTTTGAGTAGTCTATGAAGAAAATTGAGGACTTTTTTCATAATACTGATATTCTTCGATGAATAGTTATATATAATAGCGCTATTGTGATCAATAGAGGGCGAAAGTAATTATTTAACTTTGGTAACCTTCTATCAAACTTATGATAGTAGGTATGTTTTTCTATACCAAGTTTAATGTTGAAAACGCTTTGTTGTTCATAAGAGATTCATAACGATGCTTGTGGTTATCTTTTCGATCTTCATTATCAACTACCTATTGACGCATTTAACCTAAACAACTTTCGTAGAGTTGTTTTTCTAGTTATTTCAATAAAAGTAAAGTGAATATAATAATGTCTTATAAAGATCTATTGCATCGTGTCAGATTGAAATATCTTGGTTTACTTAAATTCATAGTGCAATCAGAATCAAGTTCTGTGGACAGACAAATATTGATCATATTTTGTTCTATTTTAACTACATATGTTATGGCATGATCGTTCTAATGAATATTAAAATATTTGGAATACTTTATTAAATAAATATAGTATACTTAAAATTCCTAATAAAAAAATTCTTCTCATTATGAATAAATAATAATACAAATATTGCAAACAAAAACAAGGAGAGGAAGCAAAAAATATTAATTTCTCATTCTATGATCCATTGTTTTTTTTTGTTGCTTGTCATCAATCCATTCTTGAATAATAAATAATGTCACATACGTACATATCTATATGCAAAAAGAAAAAAAAAAATCTATTTACACAATAGAGATTTTCATTTGAATCTATAGTATCATTAAAACGTGATGAAACTATCCTTTTGTCATTTGATTGCTATTTTATTGTGTACAGTCACTTTATATTTCACCCTCACCTTCCTATACGTTTCATTGATGCGGAACATAAAGAAAAAAAAAGATACTTCTGAATAGTTGTCGACCTATCAGTTATGCATATTGTAAAAACACGATGATGTTAAGATGCTGTTATAAAAGTAAATATTGATTTAATATGATTTTTCGTTATATATATTCTTTATGGGCAATGAGTTTTAAAACATATTATCGAATAATAGGGCAGAAATATTCAATCTTGAATGCATATAGAAGCAAATATAACGAAAAACTTCGACAACGTCATAACATATCTATGACAATTATTCTTTCAACTGTTGCTCTAGTAATTTTTATTCTTACATTGTTTATATACTTAATACTATCAGAAGAATCAAGATCATCAGAAACTAATGATATTTTTAATTCGCATGATGAAATTATTTTACGAAATCGTAATAATTATTCAATTCATCATATTTATATTGATATTGGATGTTTTAATGGTGAAACAATAGAACATTTTATTCATTTTATTCCTAATAGTACATTTTATGATATTATTACATTTGAACCTGATCCAATTAATTATCAATTATGTAAACAACGATTAAAAGAAAAAAAATATATGAATATAAATATAATTATTCTACAAAAAATTGTTTGGATACGTGATGAACAAATTTATTTTCAAACTGAACAAGGACGATTAAGTCGAATAAATATGAATGCAAACGGTACGAAAAAATTAATCAAATAATAGTTTAATAAACAAATTTGATTTTTTTTTAAATTTATTTAGCTCTCAATAGTAATTCAAAAAAATTAGATGCTATTGATTTTTCATCATGGCTTGTTCGTTTAGTTAAATCAAAAAATACTAAAGTGCATATTAAAATAAGTATGCCTGGAGCCGAATTATTTCTTTTAGAAAAAATGATTAATGATGATACATTAAGATTAGTTGATAGATATGAAATAGAATGGACAGATAGAGAAAATCTTCGTACACGTCCTATACGTCTTTATATTCAATTAATGCTTGATACTAACGGTTTTGATTGTCTTTATTATACAAGTTTGGATGATACACGAAAAATATTTCAATTGAATGAAACATTTGAAAATGTTACTAAACATCATGATTGGAGAACAATGAGTGAATTTGATACATATGCACATTATATTCAACGACCCGATGTAGATCATGTATAACATTTAATAAATAAATTAAACTAGAATATATATATACAATTTAAGAATGTCGTTTGATGTTCATGAATGATCGTGTTGTAAATATTATTTATTTACATACAAAAAAATGGTTGTTCGTTTTTGTTTTAAAAACACGAATTACAACGAACAATGACTGCAGTTTCACCATACGAGAATATAAACTATTGCTTTTCATTTGATATGATAGCAAAGAAATCAATTACATTCGAATGAATTAACTTCACAATATTGAGCATCCTATCTAATAGGGTATCCAATCAAATTGATAAAACTTTTATTCTAAAAAATCATAGTAGGCTTACGAGGGAACATCCCCAACTGTCCGATCGCTTTTCGCTTGATTCTATTGCCATTTGATCGGTCTTGGTGAGTAGTGAAAAAGTCTATTTTGGTTTGGTTTTCTGGTCTTCTGTTATTGACTTGTGGGCATTTTACTGGAGTTTTGGCCTATGGGCATAAGATTACATGAGAACCTGAATGATCGAATTTCGAGCTGAAATTTTGTCCATAGACAGCTCTCATAGTCATTAGATAATTCCCAAAGTTTGAGCCAGAACAAACCTACCCTTACCGAGATATTAGCTTGTATCAAAAATATCCTTGTTTTGAAACACAGTCGAAAAGATACGTTTTTTTTAATCTGAGTATCTCGATAACGATGTATTCGTTCTGGCTCAAACTTTCGGAATTCTCTAATGACTATGAGAGCTGTCTATGGACAAAATTTCAGCTCGAAATTCGATCATTCAGGTTCTCATGTAATCTTATGCCCATGGCCAAAACTCCAGTAAAATGCCCATAAGTCAATAGCAGAAGACCAGAAAACCAAACCAAAATAGACTTTTTCACTACTCACCAAGACCGATCAAATGGCGATAGAATCAAGCGAAAAGCGATCGGACAGTGGGGGATGTTCCCTCGTTAGTCATGTGAATTCTTTGAAACTACTCCAATAAGTGAGAGAGAATGTTTGTATCTGTACAAAGTGAGCAAAAGTTTTACGAACGTACTGAGATTTGTTATTTATTCTAAATCATTCATTGGATTCTTTTACTCATAGATATTTCAATTTATAATTCATGAAAAATAATTAAAAAAAAAATGAGAAATTCAATTTTTTATTTTCTTAAAAGTTAAAAAATTTCATATAAATGAATTATTTACACTTGAATAAATATGTTTGTGAAATCAAACATCGCTTTATTAAAATTATTGACAATTATTTAATAAATAAAAATAAAACACAGATATGCTTGTGATCTAAACGGTTAAAGTTGTTGTCACAGTTTTTGATACAAATGTATAAAAAAGTTTTGAGAAAAATTTCAGACCATGTGTACCACCAGGAATATATGAGACAATATACCTAAATAAAACATCAATGAAATTAATTATTTAAATATAATTACTATACCAAACAAGAGCACCAAGTTGTAATAGAACAAATATGATAGTAAAGAAATAACTTCGAATCTAAAGGAATAACTTCGAATCTATTTTTGTAATGATATGAAAGATATTTACCCAAACAGAATAATAAATTGTACCAATAAGAGTAATTACATAAGTAATAGAAAATGGTAAACGATCAATATTTGTTAAATGTTTAAAATGATTTACTGGACCCCATAACATTGAAAAACTAGAATATAAATAATAAAATGAATAAATATTAATTCATTAAAATAAAATAAATAAATTTTCAAACCTTGAAAGAAAGAATAAACTACCAAATGAGAAAAGTACTGCGAATTTTCTTGCTTTCAATATAATTACAGGAATGTAAAGTGTGGCTAATGCCATACATAATAGACCCATAGCAATACACATCATAAATCCAAGTATACGTTGTTTACGTGTCTAAATAATAATTGACATTCAATAATAAATCATTATTAATAGAAAAAAATAATTTTTTCCTCATACTAATGATGGTAGAATTGGATCATTATCACCTTTTTGTAATAATACTTGAATATCATCTGTATTTGATGATAAATTATCATTAGATGAATTTGAATGTTTATTAAAAAAATTTTTTAAACGATTTATATTCATTTGAAATACATTTCGTGATGATGTTTGTTCATTTTCATCCTTATTATTGTTTGCATGTGAATGACCAGTTTTTGATTCATTAACAAAATTTTGTAAACGAGAAAATTTATTATCCATCTAGAATTATCAAAATGAATATTTTTTTTTTCTCATTTTCTTATTGTTTTTTTTGGGTCTATCACCTCATAGAAAGTCGCTTGTGGTGTACGAAAATTGAGAAACATTAAATTTTAAATATATATATATATATCATCTAAAACTCTTTGTTTTTTTCATTATAAAGATTTTTCATTGAGTTTTCTAATAATAAAAATTTTATTGAAAAGATAGGTTTGAGAGAAAAGGAAAAAAAGAATGACAAACAAAAAAAAAAAAAAGAAAACAGAAACTTCATCAACATATACATACAATACTGATCATATAAATATGAACGATTGCATTCCATACACACGATATATGAAACACAGAACATAACTTTCAAAACATGATAATTCTCCAGATTTATTCTATTTAAAAACTCGATATTAAGATTAAAAGGAATGCAAAACATACACGTTTGACAGGTTTCATTTATTTTCACCTGATATATTGCAATAATAAGACTTTTCAATGATAGACTAGAATTTAAAGAGAAAAATAGAGGCACATTGAAAAGAAAAATTGAGACCAATAATGTTTGACTGTAAAAATGACTATTTTGATTTTTTTTTGCAGCTTACAATTGCCAATAATAGTCTACCATCCAATGTAAAGAAATATATATATACGCGTATACATACAAACACACTGTTCGAAAAAAACCAAAAAAAGAAGAAAAAATTGAAAACACAACACCGAAGATAAAAATCACCGAAGAATAAAAGAGAAAAATAAAATCAGCAGCAACACTGTACAAACAAAATTAGATATATCAGTGGAAGATAGTACAACAATCAAGAGAAAACTTTAAGAATTAATTATTTTTTGACTAGTTCATGCGTTAGACAGATGATGAAGGAAATCGAGCCATTGGTGTTTCATCTTGATAATTGAGACTATATTCAAGCATCTAGAATTAAAATAAATAAATTATATTTTTTAAATTAAGGTTTAAAATTGATTATCTCATCGAAAAAATAATATATTAAATGGTTGAAATTCTTATTCTTTTCTATAGAGAATCGATGGATATGAACTCAATTCCCTTTCGCTATGAAAAAAAAAACTAAACGTCTCGGAGAAAAACAATTCATCGATTATAATTAAAGACTTCTATTAATTAATTGATTTTTTATGAAATGATTATATTAAAAAAACTTTTGTAATTAAAGATTATGAAACAAAAAATAGAAGAGATGCTTGTTTAATAATCTCAATGAAGTTACTTTTAATTAGATCTATTCTTCTAAATTAGTTTCATTTCCTATATTTTAAATTTAATCAACAAAATATAATCTATGTGAAATATGAAGGAAATTTAATTTCCTTTTTTTTTTTTTTGTTTTTTTTAAATAATACAAAATCTCATAAGATATATGATGAATACATACTTTAGCAATTTCAGTTAGAAGTGTTGTTTTTTGTGTTTCATGTAATTTAATTAAATTTCCTGTATCACGTTCATGTTTTAAAGTTTGTCGTTTACGTTCTTCAACAAATTTTTTTGTATTATTTGATTTTAATTCACGTACACGACGATCTAAGTCTGATTTATTTCTTATATTTTTTTCTGAACCAAGTCGTTTACTATCTTCAATATTTTGTCGTACTTGACTTAATTCAAGTTCTTTTTTTTCTCTAAAAAAAAAAAAAAAAGAAAGAAGAAGAAATTAATGATTTTTTCTTTTTTGTTTTTTGCTTCTTTTACTTTGCTTGTCTTTCAGTTAATTCTTTCATTTGATTTTTTTGTGCTTCATCAAGTAAAAGACGTAATGTTTCACATTGTTCTTTTGTATGTTGTCGTCGTACATCATTCATTTCAGTTAATTGTCGTTGAACAAGTGATGTCCATTCAACATTTTGTTCATTAATTAAATCCATTATCTAAGAAAAGAAAAATATATATATATTTATTTTTTTGTGTTTAAAAAATATCAATAAACAACTTACTTTTGCATCATTTTTTCCTTCAGTTGAATTACCACCATTACTAAAAAATATTTAAAAAAAAAGCTATTAGTGCAAGCCCTGAGGGATTACAATGTGAAACATGATGTAGCTGATGTTGCTAATTACATTAAGATAGTTTTAATCTATCTATTTTGGGACATAGTTCTTCATCATCTTTTTTACTTAATCTTCTCGGAATGCTATAAGAATATAGTTCATATATTCTAACGAGTTATTATTCATATACGGTCTACGATGGTCACGAGTCTTTTTCTTTTTGCATCGATCTCGCAAGTCGTGAATCATACTTTCCAAGTAGTTAATCTCTCTTCAATCTGTCCACAAATCCTAACAACAAGGGCTAACTCTCAATTATGGTCACCTTAGTATACTCCTGGCCATAGTCTATGAGTAGCGTCTGTCATGGTTTGCAGAGATTCCAATTCTTTTTTGTTTTAGATCGTGTGTCACAAATGAATTATTATGATTAAGCCATAACAAATTAGATTAGTAAAACAAAATGTTTAGATTAGTAGAGCAATTAGAAATACCTTTTTTTATATAATAATTTCAAAAAAAACAATGAAATGAAAGTCTGTAGATGAAACAAACATGAATATAATTAAGATTATATTATTTTTAATACCTTAAATCTCTTCGTTGATATCCAATATGTATTATTGGTGATCGTGTTAATTTTTCTAAATCACTTTTTGCTTTACTCATTATTTTTGATTGTTGTTCACCGAGTACGGCTTGTTCTTTTGCATGTTTTTTTTTCATTAATGTTAATTCTTTATCTTGTTTATGTTTTAATTTTGAAAATGTTTTATGTTCACATAAATATTCTAATGTTATTGGAATAAATGTTTCAATAGGTGTTTTAGATTTAACTGATGATGATGATGCAGAAATATTTCCATCATTGACAGATATTGTATTAACTGAGGTACTACTAGCAGTTGTTAGTGTTGTTGTTGTTGATATTGGTGTTGCTGATATTTTTGTATCTAATGAAGGATTAGGTGCTGATATTGTATCAGTAAGTATACGATTTCGTCGTAAAGATGAAGTATTGGATATAAGATTACTATCCGATGATGCATTAGTTGTTGAGTTAAGTAATTCTTCTGTTTTTTTCATTAATAATGGTTGATTTAATTGATCAACAAAATCTGTTAAACCATCAGGTACATAAGATTTAAGAATTATTTGACAAAATATAGTTGGTAATGATAATGGAAAATTTCCTTCTGTACGTAATGATATATGTCTATAACCAGCTTGTAAACCATCTAATGGTAAAACACGTTGTCCTATTAATTTACCTGTTTCTTCATAAACAGCAATACGTAATATAGCTAAATCAGGGAGAACAATCTAAACATAAAAGTTTAATAGTTAAAAAGAAATTCTTTTCTTTTTGGTTTTTTTTTTACTTTTCTGAATTCAAAAACAGTTTCATCATATCTTGGATTAAGTCCATTAGTTGGTATTGTTTTAGTACGATATTCTTTTCTTATTGTATCAGCTTGTAAACCAAACATATCAACTTCAACATATGTGCCAATTTTTTTATCAGATAAAAATTGACCAGATATAACACGCACACTACAAAATGCAGCTATAACACCATCAACAGGACTTTCAGCATATGGATCAAATGTACGATCAGGTCGACGCATAAAATCTGGTTTTAATAAATAACTAAAAAACAAAAGAAATTCAAGTTTTTTTTTTTATAATACTGTGGAAATTCATCTTCTTCTTTGTAATAATCATCGATCTGAACGATTTAACTTAACATAATAATACATGAATTCCCTATATAATTTAAGGTGATTCGGCCCTTTTGTCAAATGAAAATTTTTAGATTCATTATGTGCTCTATATAAACTTTGAAGTAGACTTCTCCCAAATATTCAAATTTATGCCAGTTTTTTACAGGTTTGTAGTAATTTGGATAGATACCGGACTTTGACAAATCATCATCAAATAAGCAGATATAATGTGGTAGCGAGGTGAATACAGTTGGAACAAGTTCCTTTCCTTCCGATAGCACTTTCTGTCGAATTTTCAGCACCCCGCTCCTGAAACTATTGATATCCTTGCTTTGAAGTATTCCTTATTGACTGGACATAGTTCAAGAATTATAACATTTTCTTGAAAAACATTAATATTTACATATTATCTCACTGTTTCTGGAAAAGCAAGTTTGAGAATCGCATTCATTTTTTGAACCATAATACATTAAATTGAGCTGAAAATTTTTTATATTTATACTAGAAAATGTTTAGACTGCCGTCTTTTTTTATTTGAAAATATGATGTATCCCTGATTTTTTTTTTAGAATTTGCAGAAAGGCTCTAGTTAAAAAAAATCATGTATTTTTCATGGTGCTCTCAAGACTTTGGTGTTTTTATTTGAACACAAGCAAATTAAAAGAAAGAAAATAAAAAAGATAGATCACTCAAACATTGTCTACTATTAGTAAAAGAAAAAGCACCAAGCTTTCTCCGATCTATTGTAGTTGAAAAGGTAGGTGAGGCATGATGAAGGAAGTCATTTTTTGCATGTTTACCTCTACTAATTCATACAGGAAAACATTCAGAAATTTTAATTCTATGACTATGTTTACACTACTCATCAAGATTTATTTGCCATAAAAATGTTCGACATTTTCTGATGAGTTATTTTCTAAAAAGTATCGGAAAAAAAAACGAGAAAAAAATTCCTCAAGGATTGTCAATTCGAATATTGAATCTAATTAATCCCTTTGCTAGAAGAAAAGACCATCACATGAAATACATCTACGGACTTTTAAAGAGTCATAATTAATTTATAGACATATCTGTATACACTATGGAAATAAACTCTAATAAATAAATATCTTATGTAAACAATAGATAATTAGCTATGATGAAATTATGTTCATAGATATAAATGATCAAGTTAATAAAACATAAATTGACAAATATTTTAATTTATTTTGTATATATACATTAATGAAAAATTTTAAATATCTGAGT